ACCGCAGCAGCGGAGAATCAGTTGGAGAAGAAAATGAAACGGAAACTGGCTGCATTTTGGGGTTTACAGGGATTGTCGTAAACAAGGGTCGATGTTACAATTGATGTTGGGGTGCTTGTAACTGTAATTGTTAGCCATGTTTTTTGGGACTATATGATAATTTTACACTTTGAACCCGAAACCCCAAATCCAAAACCCTAAGCCCTAAATTGTAGTCATGTTCTTTGGACCCTAACCCTGAGGGTCCAAGGACCCAGATAATAGGGATTTAGGGCTCAAATAATCTAGTAGTACTGCTTTTTGGGACCTCAAGCCCTATTATTTGGGTCCTTGGACCCTTAGGGTAAACCTTCAAACCCAAAACCCTAAATTAGAATCATGTGCTTTGGACCCGTAGCGCTTGGGTCCCTGCAGGTTCACCTCGGATCGCGTAGGCGACCCGAGGCTCATGGGCTGTCTGGGCCCTAAAGGGTTCAGGGTTTAGGGTTTTGGGATATTGGCTTTAGGGTCTAGGGTTCAGGGTTTCGGGTTTCTAGGAATATAGCCTCCTATATATAGGGGGAATGGAAAAGGAAATAGAAGATACCCTTTAGGGGTCTAGGGCACCAAAAATGGAACATCGAATGGAAAATGAAATGGAAACTAGGATAATAGAGTGGCTTATGGGTCATTATGGGTTACCTAACCACCTCCCGCTATACAATACTACACCCAGGACTAATGAAGGTTAATTCTGAGGAAACTCTGGTGATTAGGAGAACGCCTAAGAAATAGGAGTTTCCCACACCCAGACATCCTCAAAGGGGACCTCGGACACCTCAAATTATTGTCTTCGTTCTTAGCTGGGTCCTCTCATCTCATCCCCTTAGAAGTCCGTACAGCCCATTCCTTCATCCCCAGCTACGTATGGATGATTATTCAGGTTTTGAATTTAGTGCCTTGTGTTTCTTACCTTTGTATTGTGCTCTCAGGGGTTCCGACCTTCGTGCCCACACTTAAAAGGATCTTCTCAAATTCCTGAGGTCGGGAAAGCCCGAGTTATGACCAGGTAATGCCCCACCATCGCTTACAACTACTACTATGGATAGCACTGGTGTTTTGTACTGTATCTACCTTGCAGCTGTAGCAGGAGGTCCTTACAACAAGTCAACAATCCTCAGCCCACCAATGTATACCGGGTAAAGGTCGGAGGAATGCGCTTGCATTCCAAGCCTTGGGGTTCAAGCTCTATCCCTTCTGTTTTTAAGCGCATAGATAACCCCTAAGCCCTAAACCCTAATGCGGACTTTGGGCCCTAAAACCTGCAGTTTATCCACCTTGTCCTGTGCCATTTTAGGCTTTTGCTCCCTGGGGAGGATGTGGTGATGCTTCGGGTTTGTTCAGGATTTCCTCTGTGGAGCCCATTGAGGTATGTGTGCTTAGATTTTGGACGGTTGTCCCGGGTTGTGCCACAGGAATGACAGGAAACCCCCATCATACTTCCTCATGATGGCCTAGTACCTTGGTCTTCGTGAAAGGATAGTGCCTTCTAAGAAGCACTCCTCCAAATCAGCCGATTGAAGGACAGAAAGGTATTTATTCCTCGTAGTTTGAGGGGCCACAGGGTCTGGAAATCAGACTCGATATCTTTAGCTGACAAAGCGAGGGATGCAGTTTGGATAAAGCCGGAGAGTCATTAGGTTGAATTAGTGTTGCCTTGTCCATGCATCGCTTCAGTGGATATAGGTATTGCAGGATTGCTTTGTAGGTCAAGCCGGGGCATATCTCAGCATTCAGGCCCATGAATTTTGTTTCGCTAGACCTTCTGGCTCCCTATCACCCGCCAACACTTGGCAACGTCTCCATCTTGCGGGCCATGAGGCCAACTACGCGGTATGGGCATCAGAGAATCTTAAGCCCTAAGCAGCGTACATTCAACACCACCGTGAGTAGTTAATTAAGGACCCTGGGGCTGTCTGCCACGAGTATCATAGACATGGCGGGTGGGGTGGGATCATGTAGAAAGCTCTCCGCCAAAAGGTTGAAGTAAGAGATCATTCTGGCAGAGGCAACCCCGGACTGCCTAAACTTTCTAAACCCTCAACCTGAGGCCGTAATGCTTGCGAATCCGTGGAGCAAGTGCTTCGAGACCTGGGGCTAGGACAGCGGACCTTTCTGGCGCACACCCACGGGATCCATGTAGCTGGGGAAAAAGTATACCTGGACCCGAAGGTCGTCCTGTGGGAGCTCCTAAAGAGGTACTATATCGCTACATGGGCTTTTGGGAAAAATGAGTTGGCGGTCATACCCCCCTGGTGAGGATGCTGTGTACTCATCTGGGAGCATAAACGTGCGTGGTAACCGTGTAGCTCTATCTGAAGCCCCAGATAGAGATGCGCGGTTCCCATGCGCATCTATGCTCCTAGGTCCTAGATGTGTGCACAGCATCCTCACAATTTATTTGCAAACATCGCTGATTTATGTCGGCCTTGCTACGCTCAGTATGTCGTTTTCGAGTCGCTGCCTGCCGGAAGCTTTAAGTGGATGCTGCTGAAAGAGGCCCCTACCCCAATTATGCAGACATCACATGGGAAAACAAACATGGAAAATGTGATATGTGTTGTTTTATTGGTGTAAGGGTCTTCAAAACGTTCATTGTGGCGTTCCCGTTATACATGTTACCTGCCCACATTCTTGTGTTATTTCCCCCGCCCCACATGCGATAAGTGTTAAGCATATAATCAAACTAGTTCACATGATTTTTTCATTAAGCTGCGAGATCGAAGTTATCATGCAAATATCGTTTAGATGAGCTGTACTAGCTTCATGAAGTAGATTGCGGGGCCCGAGTCTAAACAGAAACTCGTCGACTTAGCCAGTCTGAGTATTCCACTGGTTTGACTAATTTGATGAGGGGGCCGGAGCCTGAACAGGACCAATCTAACTAGTACAAGCTATCTACGTAATGTGATGAAGGCGACTACCAAGATGGTGTACCAGATAAGTCAAAACAAACTCGTCCTTGGATCAAGTAACTTTAGTTTGGATGTAGTCAAACTAGCCTGTTCATTAGGTTGCCCTAACTAATTTGGTTAAGGGCCTGAGCCTGCATCGTATTTATCTACTGGTTCGGTCAGTTTGACTGATTAAATTCACTTGATGATTTTGGCTCATCAAACTACAGTGTCTAGTCGTCTCAAGTATTGCTTCGTTGATGACCTTGATAAGCATGATTAAGTAGACGGGGGCCTTCCAAGTCATGCTAGGGACACCCCGCGATCCAGAGGATCCCGGCCGTAATTCTTAGAGTTTAGGGTTTGGGTAGTCTTGGCCCTGTGAAAGGTAGTCTTGGGGGCAGATTTCACAATTGGAATTCTGGGGATCCCTTATCGTATTGTAAGGGCGTGTAATCTTAGGGAGACGGGGTTATGTGTTCCCAGGTCTGAAACCTTAAGCTCGAAAACCCATCGATGGCATCCCGTAAACCCCACGACCTAGCTACCTCCAGCCCAGGGCCGCATCCACATACGGATTTTCTGCAGCCTTCTAGAACTCCATTCGACTTGAAGGGTCAGGAAGACTAAGTATGTAGGTTAATAACACCTGTAATCCATAAAGTAACCCTGGTCATCCCTCTTATTAACCTACTTACTCAGTCCCCCTGACTCTCCAAGCAGCTTTCAGTTGTGGAGGAGCTGCGCTTCGTGCGGCCCAGGAGGCGGAGAGAGAGGCCTTTTGCAGTGCGAGGGAGGGGGGCACTCATGCGTTGGTGACAGCAGCAAAATGAGCATGCGCATCCCTTTGCGATGCTCTGTTTATCGTTTTAAACTATGCATAGTCTTCCATGGAAGCATCCCCAATATAGACCCAGCAGATGAGTTTTCCACTGTTCCCGGATAAAAAATCTGTGCAGAAGTGGTACATAGAGCAGCTGAAATATACAGACTTCTGGACCTCATGACATAGTAGGAATGAAGGATGAACTAGGGTTCAGGTTCTGCTGGAGGGCTAAGAGTTATAGGTTGACCGTGTGTAAGTATTTAGTACGGTAACCAGAAGGCAGCACCTTTTTGTATGGCTTGAACGTGGAAGTCAGGCGCTGGCCAAGGAGAAGGCTATGATTGCCAAGGGCTGAGTTGCTGCAGGTTCTCACAAACCCAAAGGAACTGGCATTATTCATGGTTGCGGGTACAGAATGTGTATTGTTTTGGAAGGTTTTGGGTGTGTTTTGAGGGGTCATCTTCTGACAAGTTGGTGTATCCCTCAACTCCGAGCTCTCCGGGTGCTGCGATAATGTACCGTTTCTGCGTTTAGGATAGCGTAGCGTGCCTGTCTTGCGTGCCTTAAGTTTTGGATTGCAGCAGTTCTGCAGGGATGACTCAGGCGTTCCTCAAGGTTGATGCGGGGCAAGCTTCTTTGCTGAGGAGCACTTATGTGTCTTTATTACTGCCTTCTCAAAGAGTCCAGTATGCAAATAGCGTAAAATTTGGCCCAACTACCTGGCTAGGCCTCCCTTTGGGCCCAGAAGATATACGATACAGATGCTCAGACCCTCTAGGTATACTGGAGTGGGGTTTGAGGCTTGTCATCGGGGAAGAAGGGGTGGCATTCCGCCAAGGCCTCTATTCGAACGCCACCAGCACCGCCCACAGGCCAGGGATCTTGGGTGCGCTACACAAAAAAAGGGGCCCTACAAAGACTGCTGCCCTTTCAGAATCGGCTATGTGAAGGGGAAGATATATTTCCGAAGAACTAGCATGGGGGGGGTTGTTTGTATAAGTTTTGGCAGCGCAAAGCAGTAGCAGTGTTGTCTTGCCTTCTGTCTGCGGAGTGTAACTGCAAACCTTGATGTGCAAACTTTGATGCATTCCAATCGGTTTGGTAGCTCGCCAACATGCCAGAAGTCCTACTCTCAAGAGTTTGTGGAGCACTGTTCCGGCCTTTGGCCCCCAAAAGGTGGTGAGGGCGCAGCTGCAGCCACGGCCGCAGCCGCGGCGGCCGCTGCCGCAAAGGCCGCGGAGGAGGAGGCAGCGCGGCGAGCCGCTGAAGAGGCGGCCCGGAGGCTAGCCTGCAGACATAGCGACGGTTTAAGGAATTGTTGTGATCTGGGCGTCGCTTTCCATGTGCGCAAATGTTGAAGTCTTTGTGCTTGCTGTGCTTCACGTGATGTATAGGAGTAGGGCTCGATTGGGGCATCCCTCCTGCCCAAATGGATTTGCAACAGAGGGTTGGCTGTGTGACAAACGCCCTCGCGACAAGGCCTCGAGGACATGAGACTTTGTTTATTTAGAGTAAGCCCGCGACAAAGGAGTTGTAACGTCGTGGGGAGGGGGGACAGGTGCCGCATAGAGAGCGTTTCGGCCCACACCCATTTGGCTACATGTCGCCCTGCCAACTACAGGCGATAAGACCTTCACCGCACACTGCCAGCTAGAAAAGGAATCCCCTGGGTCCGAACTGGGTGTCATCTAGGTGCCTGGACCCTCAGTGCTTGTTCTTCAAACCTGTTATCAGCTGCAAACAACTGATTGCAGACTATCAGCTGTCGTGATGAGTCTGACCAGCTAAGGAAGGCCGCAGAGGCAGAAGAAGCCACAAGAAGAGCAGAGGAGGAGTTCAGCAAATTTATGGCTGCCAAGCGTGCCGAGGAGGAGGCTGCAAGGAAAGCCGCAGCTGAGGAGGCCGCAAGAGCTGCTGAAGAGGCAGCCAGGAAAGCAGCTGAGGACCAGGCAGCGAGAAAAGCTGCCGAAGAGGCTGCGAGGAAGGAGGAAGAGGAAGCTGCAAAAAAGGCAGCTGAGGAGGAGGCTGCTAGAAGGGCCGCTGAAGCGGCTCGGAAGGCAGCCGAAGAGGAAGCAGCCAGGAAACCGGGCTAGCTTCAGATATAACACAAGTAAGGGTAGTTGTCAAATCTTGTCCGCACATTCTGGGACGATAAGTCTCGTAAGGCCCAAACATTTGGCAGGGTTTACAGTAGTAGTACCAGAAATACTAGCAATAATAGTAAAGTAGTAATGATAAAAGATACTTCTAGAATCCGGTTCATCTGAAGGTTGCCATCCAACTTCCGCTGTCTCGAAGGTCAGCAGTACCTGCGAGTAACGTCTTAAACCCTTTTATGTCCTTTTTCGCGTCCCAATGGGAAATTTCAAAAGGTTTAGGGTTTAGGGTAACAGCATCGTGGAAAGGCCGAGCAGACCTTTTGCTCAAAGCTCCGGCCCTGTGCCTGAAAATGCGGAGCCCTGCTTTACAAGATGAGCTATAGTCTAAACTGCATAGAGGGGGATAAATAAAGCGCCATATATGTGATTATTGCATGGGTTATTATTAAGAAGGATACTAGGAGTTTGGACTACGGCTCATATGCCCTCGGAAAGGGCACCGACTCTTTTTGGAAACACCCCTAGTGTAGAAGTTCCCATATTGGCGCTACATAGAATCCTTACATAGCTGCATTGTAAGATGCTGCCAAACTCAGATCTGTTTCTTTAGGGCCCCATACTCTGACTAGTGTCATGTAGGGAACTTTGTCATTTATACAGGGCTTTCTGGGTTGTATCCGGGCCCCTCAAGAAGTCCAGACTGCAAGAGCTAGATGAACTGGAGTGAACTTGAGAAAGTCACGACGTGGACCCGAAAAGTAAGTGAAGCAACCAAACCGAAGAAAAAGGCCGCGTTGTTCTGCTTACTTGTGGGACTCAAGACGGATTCTTTCCATGTTACCTTAATGGGCCTCATGCGAGTCTGTTCCAGCGGCCTCTGTCATGGAGAGCCTACTTATGAAGGGTCACTTTCACACCCCTTTAGTTCCTATTTAGGGTTTAGGGTCCCAAAGGGGCCAAGTACCCAATAATTAGGTCTGTGGGCGGCTTTGGGTAATAGTAGTTATAGTGCAGGTTTGGGCTGAGTAGATGCTTATTACGTACTTGGAACGGTAGGCTTACTGTTACCATTGAAGTTACTATGGTGATTACTGGTACTGTCATTAGTTCCAGTAGTTCACTGCATTTCCATGCCCATTCCACCACCATACTAGTTTTCCGCCATCTACATATCTTTTCATGTGATGATACCACAATGTATCATCATTGCTGCGTTACGACCCTTTTTCCTGCCTCCTCCAACCTTCAACCCTGAACCCTACATCCTAAACTCTAAGCCCTAAATTAAAGCGTACACCTTCAATCCCAAACTTTAACCCTGAACCCCAAATGTAGTTTCCCCCAAATAGGGGCACCCAAAATACCACACTACTTCTTATGCGGACCCCAAAACGGTGTCCCTAATTTTGAGAAACCACTACGTAAACCCTAAAACCTAGATAACCCTACATAAGTTTTCATAAGTTATATTATACCTATATTTCTCGTTTCAAATCTACCCCAAATATTGGCACATCCTAAGCCTTGTATATTTTCATATATCTGTACATAACCTTACATAACCCCTATATCCCGCTCTTGAGGTACCCCTAATTTTGGAAAACCCTTAACCCCAAGCCCTATATAACCGTGTATATATATATATGTATATAACCATATTAAGCCCGAAAAAGCCCCTGCATACCCCTCTAAGGGTACCCCTAATTTTGAGAAACCCCTAAACCCCAAATCCTGATCCCTAAACCCTAAACCCCGTATGAGCCCTAAAAGCCACCTTTAAAGGTACCCCTAATTTTGGGAAGCCCCTAAACCCCAAACCCTAATCCCTAAACCCTGAACACTACATATAAGCCCCCGAATATGCCACTTGAAAGGTACCCCTAATTTTGGAAAACTTCTAATAATCCCTAAGCCTTAAATATGCCCCAGTATGCCCCTTGCAAAAGTCCTCCAATTTGAAAACTCTAGTCCCTATATGATGCCATATAACCCTATATAACCCTACACATCCCCTGTAAGCCCCTTTAAAGGTACCCCTAATGTGGGGAAACCCCAAGTCCAAGTAGGAAATCCGCTGCCGAAGCGGATGCCGCTCGAAGAGCCGCTGAAGCCGAAGCAGCCAAAAAGGCGGCGGACGTGCTAAGGTTGAGGGTTTTGGGATTGAGGGTTGTAGGGTTGAGGGTTTTAGGTTTTTAGGGTTTAGGGGTTGAAGGTTGTAGGGTTGAGGGTTTTAGGTTTTTAGGGTTTAGGGGTTGAAGGTTGTAGGGTTGAGGGTTTTAGGTTTTTAGGGTTATGGGGTTGAAGGTTGTAGGGTTTTAGGTTTTTAGGGTTTTGGGGTTTAGGGTTGGGGGCTTAGGATTATGCAGGGATGCGTATATGGAATAGCATGCATAAGATCTGAACAGAAGAGCGCGGAACCACGTCGAGAATGGAAAGTGACATGGATGAGGGGCTTATAGGGATGGTTATGTGAGCCCCTAAAGGAACTGGAAATTGGTTATGGGTATATTCTTATTACAGCAGCTATACAAGGATTATCAGGGGGTTATCCCCTCTCAAAATTACAGGCACCTTTTAGAGGGGAATTGGGGGGTGTCATGTATAGGGCATAGGGATATAAAAAAGGCCTGAGCGTCGGAGGACACAATGATCATAGACTTCTCCAGAGCTTATACTGCAATTACATACCCAAAGCCCCAAGTACTTAGGCACATGGATCTCTCGGGCAAAGATTAGGTTTCCTTAGGCCTGGGGATCAAAACTGGGGTCCCTCCTGGAGGCGACATGAAGAATGGCATTGGCTGGGGGTTTATGTAGGGGACCTTGCGTTTCAGAAATGCCCATAAGGATTAGGGTGTAGGGTTTAGGGTTCATGGGGTTGATGGAAGAAATTGAAGAATGCTGACTCACTGTGATGATTCCTTCCATTACCCATCGAAGATGTTCTTTTAATTCTTCGCATCTGTCATTAGTTGGCGTTATTGTGAGCAGTCGTAGTCTTGTGAATATGTAGTACTCCTTATTGCTAGCATCATCAACCATTGAGTACGGTGATTGGCATTAATTATTACTTATTACTCCTATCCTTGCTATGCCTAAGCCTTAAAGCCTAAACCCTAAACCCGACAGGGTTTGTTGAGGCCTGTAGGGGCGATGCGGGTTGAGCCAGTTTGAAGGTTTAGGCGTCGTTTACACTGGTGAGGGGGTCATTCTTAAAATGAGGTCTACGTATGGTACAGAGGCACAATTCAGAAGTTGTCATTTAGGATTTAGGGATCTAAGTCATGATTCAGGATATAGTATTTGGAAGGGTGGGGTTTAGTTTAATCCAGAAGGCCGCCGAAGAAGCGGCAAGGAAGCGAAGAGACGACGAGGTCGATCGGATATGGGTTGCAAGACGGGGAAAGCTAGCCTAGAGCTCATTTGCGGCTGACATTTTCAGATTAGATATGAAGTTCCCTCTCGGGTGGGCATGATGATATAATAATCCCCTACGAACAGAGACGAGAACACAAAGATCAACTTCGTGGGAGGCTCTGGGTAGACACTTGTGCCTGCAGCACAAAGGGCTTTGTACCCAATCCTTCGGTTGATTTACGGTCAGGGCTTAGGCTTTAGGGTTTAGAGTTTAGGGTTGATGTTATGAGGTTATGCTAGACGATTGTGAACACTACTCCCAATCAGCACCGGCAATTCACTCTGTTGATGCCTCATGAAATGTGGAAGTTTCTCAGCGCATGTTACAGTACCTTCCTCAGGAGGAACCTGTAGAAATAATGCAATCTAAGGGTCCAAGTACCACATATTCATTCACTTGCCCAAAACCTGAACTATTATTACTATTATTATTACCCAAAACCCAAGGACCTAATTATTAGGCACCTGGATCCTTTGGGATATATTTATTTTTCTAAAACTTCCTCACTGAGGACGTCGATATTGGAAAACCTCGGGTGACGCTGAGGCTTCAGTAGGCCGTATTATGCGGGTGTGGCCGTGCTGTGGCAGTAAGTCGCTCTGCATGATGCCAGTATGTCTGAGCCTGAATTATAGGGTGTCGGGTTGGGTTACCATAATGATGGAGACTCAAGTAGACAAGCACATGGGAGATTAACAGGTTATGTGATGTGGGGTTATACACACCCTTGCGATGCTCAAGATAGGTGGGGAACCAACAATCAATTGGCGTTGGTCTTGGCTTCAGGAGAGGGGATCATCTGGCGCATCCAACGTGCGCGCACTGCATCATGAGCCTCATAGCTTGAGATGGCTGCAACCATTATTTACGCAGACACCCTACTCTTATGGGTCACCATCCTTATACACCGCCAAGAGCCCAAAGTATTCCCTCAGGAGGGCCTCAAAGGCAAAGGCCCGGACAAAGGCAAAGGTAAGGGCAAAGGCAAAGGAAAGGGCAAAGCAAAAGGCAAGGCCCCAGGCCATCAACGGGTCGGCAGTTCTGCTGTTTGGGTTTCAATACGGTTTAGCATTGGTTGATGGCAGGATAAGTCGGGTTTGCGCTATGCTGCTGATGATGATGATGGTGGTGGTGGTGGTGATGGTGATGATGATGACGATGATGGTGGTGGTGGTGGTGGTGGTGAATACTACTGATATCTACTGATCATGAAGGTGATGATGACGATGATGATGACGAGGGTGTTGATGCGATGATGATGATGATGATGATGATGATGATGGTGATGGTGATGGTGATGGTGATGGTGGTGGTGATGATGATGATGGTCATCAGATGATCATCCTGATGACTGACATCACTACTTGTAAGACTACAGGAGTGTGTAGAACGCTAAGCGTGCGTCAGGCATGGATGCTGACAAATCGAAAAGGAAGTCCTGGTTTGGTTGATGTTTTGAATTTGCGTTTGCCTATAGGTACACGACCTGGTCTGAAATCACAGGTAGGCTGCACGGACCATTGTGAAGACACAACAGAATCAGTTTGCAGTGACCTCTTGCCAGCAGAGTCCCCGT